ACCATCCTATATGTAAAAATATGCAGTAGGATCTTAGATTACAATGAGTTAAGTGTAATACTTTGACTTTGTAATACATGCCTATTATATATAGGTTATGCAGAAAAATGTAAAGAGGCCACAAGTACATGGTTGATAAAATTATAGTATATATTTGTATAGCATCATTTTGGCATTGAAAGTTATTTTCATTGTATATTCCCTTTTTCGCCAAGATTTTTAATTTTTAAAAGTTACACAGAGTCAATCGATTTTACTTTAATTTGAGCGATGTATTCACTTGGACACACCCTGTATTCTACAACTAGACATTTCCGAAAAGAAACATCGCTCATAAGAATAATTCAATAAACGAAGACTTACCATTTTGCTATCAATCAAAAAAAACCGAACGTTTTAGATTCCATAATAGAAAAATTAAAATATATATGGAATATTTTTGTTAATTCTAAAATTGTGATTGGCGTTGTGGTTGGTTATTAATAGTGAGTTTATTAATAAAACGCCAATTTTTACCGGAAACCTCAACGTCCATCGAGGTATCCGGATTTTAAAGTTTAAATACAGGAATATGGTTCTCTACACCGACCTGCCAACTGTCTGTTACTAACAGCGTTACCAACATAGCTGGCAACACTGGTAACAACTTACCATATTGACAAGCACATATAATATCTGTCAGATATAAACTGTCAAATGTCAAAAATCCTATCGACAGCCATGACTAGGTGTCTCGTTAGTGACAGTGTTGACGTTTAAGTCTCACAAATACGGCTATTATAGATAAACAAGTAATTTTTTATTAATTTTTCTTTTGTAGTTATCCTCTTTAAAGGTTTTACTCCAAAAATATCGACACCTTCTAGTACATTCTCTAATATTCTACAGGATCATCTGCGAGAAGGGCAGTCGAGGTACGTCACATCTACTAAACTCTTACGTCTTTCTATCTCCTTAAGATTTGTCCGTCTTGAGGGCGGCGTAACAGCTCTGGCATACCCTGACCGGTTTGAGGATGCGCAGTCTCGAAATTTCGCATTCGAACCTGCTGCATTTCGAACAGAAGACTTGGCCGCAGTTCCGGCAATGGTGCCGTCGTTCGTATATGCTGAACTTGATGCTGCAGGCGGCGCAGTAATCGGCTCCCTCGTCCTTCAGCCAGTGGTCGGCCGCCCTGCCCGGAATGTCGCAAACGCTCCACGAGAAGACCCTACCGCGGGTATCTCCTACGTATACGCTACGGTGGTCCCTAAAATCGTCAAACGCGTCGATTAAGTATGATAAAACAACTAATGCAGTATCTACTGTAATTAATGGAAATGAACCACAATAGTAGATGAAAATATGATTATTTTGAGAAAGATTACCGAAAAAAGATATCAAAAATCAAAATAAACGCATTTTCAACCAAAATTGTGGTTACTTCCAATTAAATGTAGTAGTCAATATATTGTAGTTTCACGATCTGAGATGGTGTTACACTAAATGCAAAACAAAAAACAAATAACGTTGTCGACACTAAAGGTCGATTCAGACACATCAGTCACGTCTCGCGTCGAACACCGTCATACAATATTCTTTATAATATGGCGCGGCATTCCATCAAGGCGACGAACAGTTTCCCAGCTGTCAAATAATTAATAGTTCTGTGACCAAACAGGACTGGTTCGGCGCCGAGACTGTGACGAGACTGATGTGTCTGAATCGACCTTAAAGGTCGATTCAGACACATCAGTCACGTCACAGTCACGGTACCGAACCGATCCTATTTGGTCACAGAACTATCAACTATCTGACAGCTGGGAAACTGTTTGTCAACTGATGAGTGTGATGCCGGCAACATATTTGTATTAAAGAATATTTTGTATGACGGATTGTCCGATTCGGCGCAATCACACGTGACGAGACGTGACTGATGTGTCTGAATCGACCTTAAGGCAGCTAAAATTAAATCTATAACAAACAACGGTTATTGTTTTGGTGTAACGGTTATTATTTTGAATGTACTCACTTTGAAACTGCGAGAGCAGTGATAGAAGCAGGTTCTGTATTGTCTTTTCGATCGAATGCGGTGTGCATGGTTAGCTTACTTCTAAAAACTAGTTGTCTTTGCCACTTAAAACCTGGAAATTGAATTAAAATGCATAAAATCAGGTCTACAATGATATATGCCAACTAGAAAAAGGGATAGATTGTTAAATATAGGTTGGTAGTTAGTGCAGCTCTCGGGGAATCTGTAAGCCCGACCCAGTTTACCGGTGGGTATGAGGGAAATAAAATACCTCCCGTGACCAACAGGTAATTCACCGAATGATTGCCGGTATAAGTGATCCCACCATTTACTGGCCAACGCTTCGGGCGGAGGAGCTAGTATGTGGAAGCGTACTCTTTTGTCCAGAGATCGAGAAATCGGTCTCGAAGGCGGATGAACCAAGGATGCTCAACGGCGGAAGGATGCAGAAGGCAACGGGGAACCACTGCATTAAAGACTCATAGAGTACCCCTAGTTAAGTCATTATGGTGTACAACAAAAATACTGGAAACCCTACTGATCATGGGAATAGGATATCAAGGTCCGGCAGAGTGAGAAAAACACAAGACTACAAGGCTCACTTGGTCGTAAACATGCGAAATCCTTGTACAAGAGCGCAGAAACCAACAACTAGAGTTGCAACGTGGAATGTTAAATGTTTGTTCTCTGCAGGAAAACTGGATAATGTTGAACAAGAAATGAATAAACTAAACATCGATGTTTTAGGAATCAGCGATACAAAATGGCCAGGATCTGGGAAATTAATGGCGTATTTTATTACTCCGGAATCGACTTACGGAGTTGGAATCATCATTTCAGAATGAAAATTCTCTGATTACCTGTACTCCTTATTTAGAGCGCTTAATATTAATACAAATTAAAGAAAGACATAACACAATAAATCTTATTCAAGTCTATGCACCAACAGCAGATAAAGATGACAATGAAATAGAACAATTTACAACGATTTAGAAGAAATACTGAAAACAATCAAAAAAACAACACATTACATAATATGGGCGATCTTAATGCAAGGTGGGTCAAGGTAAGGTAGGAGAACAAGTAGGAAAATATGGGCTTGGAAACAGAAATGACAGAGGAGATCGATTGATTCAATTTTGCCAAAGTGAAGATTCGTAATAACAAATACCTTTTTCAAATTACCTCCTCGACGGTTATATTACATGGACATCTCCACAACATACAAAGAAAAAGTTTAAAACAATATACAGTTACTGGTATAATACCTCAAGAATGGTTGCTGTCTAAGTTTGTCACCATACCGGAAGAAAACTAAGGCAATGCAATGTCAGATCTTTTATTTACTGAAATGTAGTCTAGTTGATTCCTAATAATTCTCCCGGGTACTGTCTTGAGGGGATTTCCACGTGTACAGCTTGCGAGGTGGTAATTGGAAGAATGTGTTGGTGACAACTAGTTTTGAGTCTTCTGCGAATTTTTCTAGGTCACCTATCTCGATTCTGACTCCAAGACCATGTGCTCCAATGTACTGTGTCTTATATGCAGCTCCAATTTTGGCATTAAAATTGCCCATAATGATGAGAACTTCCTGCCGAGGAATTTTCTGTTGTTTTTGAAATATCTATTATATTTATCTGAAAATACTGTTGATGTTCTGATAAAACTCAATTGCTTCTTCCTCCGAGATTCCTCCGTCGAGATTCAACTCAACCAAAAAATGTCATAATGTAAACGAATATAGACATTATGATGTCTTCTAGTGTATTTTACGCCTCCTGTATATAAGTTTGTTTGTTTTTGTAGAACACATAATAAAAATCAAAATAGACTGCTAATGATAGATACAGGTAGAACAAAAGTATCGATATAATTGATCAAATATGCCTTAAATGATTATTTCATACCTGGTCGAAGTGAATTCAAAGGATTGGGCGATTTCTTCTTCGTTTCGGATATCATGACGAACGAATCTGTCAGACTAGTGTCAGATTTGCTCGTCCTCAGTCCAGAACCATCATCGATGTCTATGCTAGGGTTTTCCGCACTGTTGCCACCTAAACATACAAAAAAATTACTCTGACAGTCGCTGTCAAATCGTGGCAATTTACCTTCACTTTTTCTAAATCCGCAGTGTACCCTCGATCTTCTTCTTCTAGCAGGCGCCACCGGAGGGGCCACCTCTTCTGTGTCGCTGCAAGTGTCTTTTTCGTCTTGTTGTTCGCTCCTCCACTCTTTCGAACTGCTTTCGTTGCTGATCTGCCTGTCTATCGAACTGCGTCTCGTGTTTTCTTCGGAAAGGCTGCTTTCAGAACCTGATTTCATCAAATTACCTGCACTTCCTGCGACAAAAATAACATTTTCGAGCTTATTGGTAATTTTGTAATTAAATTATAATTTTATTGAATAATATTTAAATTTTGATAGATATCTCGACTTATAGTTAGTTTAAACTTACCCAAAGACGAGCTGCTCGATACGTGTATCTGCTTTACAAGTCTGTGATGTATTGACGACGGTTTGGAGACTGTATCACTGGGCTTAGGGGATTTTGGTGATTTCGGGGACTTGGGTTCGATCGGGGGCTTGGAACTGATCGAATTAGAGTTCTGATCATCTGGTACTTGCACATAATCTATGGACCACATCTAAAAAGAAAAGTAACGCATTATTTCAGTTAATGTAACTGTATATGTTATGTGAGGTTAGGATAGCACAATATGGAAGAATTTTTCAGTACATATAAAGGTACTTACCTGGTTACACCATCCGACGAGCCTGTCATGATGACATTTAGTGAGTCCCATTCGTGAGTCTGCGAAAACGCAACACACAGGATCTGTTGCATTCGATCAGCTGTGCCAATGCACGTGTTAACACTAGCTAATTCGTCCCATTAATGCTCCAAACATGCAACCTAAATAACAATGTATAAATGATTACCGAATTGTAACTTACGAAATATACAGGTTAATAAATGACTAAGGACTTACCAGGTGGCAGCACAAGTAGCTATATCTCCTGTAAGATCATTGACAGCCACCGCAGCGACAGGACCAGCGTGGCCTCTGAGCTGTCGTACGAAAACGCCTCTAGACAGATCCCAGATGATCGCAGTGCAGTCTCTTGAACCGGAAATAATGACGTTGTACGCTGGACTCGCAGCTAAGCAAGTGATGGCGTCTGTGTGGCCGTACAGGCTGTGTTTTATTGTCAGAGATTTTTTACGAGCTTCATACTCCCACACAGTGACCACCTAAAACATTTAACGAAATTGAATTAAGTAATCTCGAAGAATTCATATCATAAATTGAGGTAATTCCACAGTAAAACAGTTCTAAGACACTTACCGAGCTTGTACCAGCAGTGACAATGGACTTGGGACTCGGACACACGCATGCCAGGATCTCTCCGTTGTTCTGCACGACACTTTCCGATACAAACACAGCCTTATCGCTCTCATAGTTGCCTATCCTAAGGGAATGATCCGCAAAACCCACGCAACGTACTTATTGAACGCTGGGGGCATCAGAACTTTGTTTTGTTCGACAGCTAGGACTGAGCGGTCCACGTGAAGAATTTGACCTACTGGACTTTTCACTTCTGAAACATAATACATGGAATTTGGAACTTTCATGTCAGAAAATATCGATTTTTCAATGTCACACATGAATAATTGTAGTTTTTATAGTTTTATGATATGTCTCACTCCATATATTTCAAATATATATATATATATATACATTTATGATATAATATATATATATATATATATATATATTGTTTTATCTTGTACATGCTAGGATAATACTAGGAAAGCACTGCGATCTCTATCTTGTATATGACACAAAATTACATCATAAAAGCTATTTTTTTGTATTATTGCACAAAATAGGAACGGAAATCTACATTTTCTTATAGAATGCAAAAAATAAAAATAAATTATTTATCCTAATGCACAAAATTACAACACGATGGCGCCATTATAGCACAAAATATCTCTTTAACGGCGCAAACTGATCCACATTATTGCACAAAATTTCTGTTTAACAGCGCAATGTTCCATATTTTTGCACTAAGTATCTGTTTCACGATGCATTGTTGCATATTATTGCAAAAATATCTGTTTAACGGCGTAATGTTCACTATTATTGCTCAAAATATCCGTTTAACAGGGTAAATGTTCACATTATTGCACAAAATATTTGTTTAACAGCGCAACTTTCCATATTAATGCACAAAATATCAGTTTTAAAGACGCTATGTCCCTTATTTATTACACAAAATTTATGTTTAACAGCGCATATTCCATTAATTATTGCGTAAAATGTTTGTTTTTACAGCGCAATATTTATATTATTGCCAACAAATATTATTTTGACGGCGTAATGTTCCATATTATTGCACAAAATATCTGTTTAGCTAGGCGAGTTCCTATTATTGCACAAATTGTATGTTTAACAGCGCGTTGCTCCATATTATTGCACAGCATATCATTTTAACGGCGTAATGTTCTATATTATTGAACAAAATATCTGTTTAACAGCGCAACTTTAGATATTTATTGCACAAAATGTATGTTCACACAGCGCAATGTTCCATATTATTGCACAAAATATCTGTTTAACGACGTAATGTTGCATATTATTGCACAAAATATTCCATAATTATTGCAAAAAATAAGATTCATGAAAGCTGTGCATTCCGGGTGCGCTGTGCAATATGCACAAAGTGGAATTAAAGTTTAGTAAACAACAAAAGATATGACTTGTATTATAACGATATGATGGCCTTACCTTTGATGGGTTGTAGGGATGGCCTTAAGTTATCGAGATGGTGGAAGAACAACTTCTCAGGTTGTGGAAGAGAAAACGCTTGCACCAGAGATCCCGTATCGATGACGGACGTCCTATTATTAGAACCGGCCATTTTCTTGCAAGGATGTGGTTTCTTAAACAACTGCTTGGGAATTTGACCAAAATTATTGATAAATCCTATAGTAGCGTTTTTCTTCAAAGGATCGTCGATGCTATAAATAATTATCAGTTGTATATGTGCAAAAAATAACCGTGTGTTTTTTGTTACTTACTTATCTATGTCCACGTTTCCTTCGTAGAAGAGATGATGAAACACATTAACGGCATCCACGGCGGGTTGGCCTTGTTGTTTATACCCAAAAATCAAATCGATCCAGTGGTGAAGATTCTGTGACACGAAATCGCACTCCAACGCTTGTCTATGCACTCTAATGAACTCTCTGGTATCTTGCTTCGCCCAAGGGGGCAGTACGACGTTGCCAAGACTCACACCATTCTGTTTCACCCCCAAATCGAACTGATTCGAATTACAAAGGTACTCGTCGAGGTAAAAGAATTCGGGGATGAGTTCTTTGACGTCGGCCATGTTATGCTTGGAAGCCGACAGCCAGGCTTCTTTGACGGAGTGGAACATGCGATCAGCTAAGTCGAAGTGGCCACCTTGGAGCCTCAAGAAATGCTGGGTGAATGGTTCTAAGCGTACCAAATAAGAGCAGACAATCATCGCGCTCGAGTAGTGAGTACCGTAGTGATAGGGAGGCGTTTCGCCGTGAGGGTCGTCCCATTCCTGTTTAAAAATTACATTATCAAACAAATGTACACGAATAAATCAGTTCTAGTTTCACTCACCTTAAATCTTTTCTTAAATTGCTCCAAGCGTTCAGGACTTTGAGCTCATTGGCTTCGTGAAGTCTCTAAAAGTGCTAGAGTCTGTCAAATCTAGTTCCTCTGAATCATAGTCGGCTAATATCCACGGAAACACCGGGTACTGCATTAGATCATTGTAAGATCTGCCAGCCAAAGTGTTTAAGTACATTAAATACTGGAAGTTTGATATTTCTCCTCTCTAAAAACCAAAAATTAGACGGTAACCATATATTAAGCATGTTAGAGTAGTTATATGTCTAGTAGCGGATTTAAATTCGTTATAGAATGATAATAATCAATAAATCTGTACTTACCACCCATCTCTGAGTAACGCTGGTCTCACCGATGAGGTTGCTCAACAACCCTGTCGCCTGTTCAACGTTCGCCGTCCTTTTCTGACCAGCCACAGATTGCTGGGCGCTATCAGCTATGCCAGTGGCCGTCGCCATGAACCTTTGGTAGACTTTGTTGCGAATTTTGCGCGGAAAAGCCAACAGGTAGTTCCTGCCGTCGCCAGAAAACACTTCTAAAGCCATCGGTAGGAGCAGGTATCTTCTTTTGTGCACTTCCCTAAGATATTAACAGTATAAGAGAAACTAACGTCAAAGTTATTTAATTTCAGGGTGAAACTACGTCGATTTGCGACGATCGTGCTTTCGATTCAATTTTTGGAGCCACTTTCGAGGCTTTAGCTACAGTTTGTATACATAAAAACCTGAAGATGACCCCTACGAAGCAGTCAGAAGCTCGACACAGTCAAAATCGAGGTAATTCAATACATATTTACAGTTTTTTATTATATAATACGGTTGTTAAATAATTATTAAGCGATAACTAACCTTATATCGTCGTATGAAAACTTGGAACACTGCCTCATGGCTCTGGATCTTCGAGGAGATCCAGGATTTGGCAAAATCGGTTCGTATTCATTGGTGTTATGTGGTACGCTCTCGATATCTCTAATTTCTCGGTTTTTCAGTAGGGTAAACCCGTCCACAACGTAGCAATGTTCTTGGCCGAACAATAGAAGACCTTCCGTAGTATCTAACCCCTGAATCCTCGCACATCTGAACATATATGTAATCTACAAGACATTTTTTGATCAAGAGATTAATAAAAACACATTCATAGATCCTACCTTTTCATTTGCTTCCAACAACCTCATTAAAGTCTGATTGTCCGGTTGAGACGAAGATTCCTCTTCGCCGTCGGCTTCCTCCTGTAGATCATCGGGATCTGACCTCAGCCTAGCCAACTGGGAGAGAGCTGGGGCAAAAGGCAGAGGAGACGGTTCTTCTACAACACTATCAGATCTTTCCGGTTCCATCATTCCACTTACTCCCAAGTGCTTTCTTAGTTGGTTGGCGTTTATAGTACTCTTTGCTATGATAACTGGTAGCTACCTATAAGGAAACATATAGAAAAACCATAGAATAACATCTAGAAAGAAACCACAACTTAAAATGACCCAATAGAACCTCCTACACTTTTTACGACGTTAAAAGATAAGCTCTCTAACGACACGTCATTACGTCCCAAAATGGCGGCGACACCTGTCAATTTTCAACTCACTTGTCAAGTTTTACGCGAATATCGCAAAACCTTAATGTTCTTTCCATTATATCTCATACCACGCCCTTTTCTTGTTTCCACCTCTGGATACGGAATAGTGGGGAGTTTGAACAAATCGTTCTTCTTGCGTCTTCTTTTTTCGCATTCTATGTGGGCCCTCTGTCATATCCAACATCCACTTGTCCAAGGAACTCGGTTCTGGAGGGCCCCACAGTCCTCGTTCTCGAGTTAGGTCGTTCTCGGTCTGTAGCCACTCCTGGTGGACGTAGCGTTGAGTATGCTGGGAGGTGTTCTGGTGCTGCTGACGTCTCATTTCCATCAAACTTCTATAATACGAAAAATAAACATGTATTGGTGAGATAAAACTGTAAAATTGCAGGAAGAAAATTTCTTGTTCAAAAGTTGAAAAACGATTATTTTAGTATGTAAAACTCAAACATAATGATAAAAGATAAAGAAAAATGCAAGTACTAACAAAATATCTTACTTTAACAAGTTGATGTGAGAGTACGTCCACGTAAAGGCTCGCTTCTTTCCAATTCTAATGGGAACCTTGATGGTTTCGTCCTTTTTGACCTTCGTTCTACTAGCAAGTCTCGTCAAATCCACCTGTAACCTTGTGAATCTTGGACTGAATCTGATTATGAAGCTCAAAAGGAACTCTGTATACTGCCTTCCTCTCCCCTTCTACGTAGTTCAACCACAGCTTCGAAGCAGCGTCAAATACTTGGTCCCTAGAAGATATGAGCTTTAAAATTTCGCCAAATTTCTCAGTTTTGTGCACTTACCTAACTAGTAAAAGATCTGGCGCTTTGGAATTCTGGTGTGTGGCTGCGCCAGTTGTTGAAGAGTCACTTTGGCTCGTTGAACACCTCCTCAATGGCCGGCTTCTTGCATACGTAAAGTTCCTCCCAGACTCTAAGAGCAGCACCTGCCATCAGATTTTTTCCTTGATGGCAATTCAATTGCTCGTCCCTCGATTCAAGATCGCTGCTCGGGTTGACGTGCCACGTGGTCTTCATGTTGGAATCCAGCATTATCTTCATATCTGACGTAAGTTGAAGCAGACAGTTAGCTGAGAACAAACGTCACAAGTCCTCCAACTCGTTGGTTACCGGCCTCCGAAAAAACTCATACCTATATTAGTCGTAGCTTGTGCAAAGCTTCATGTACCGACATCTGGTCGCTATACTATCGTAGGCCGAATCAGCTAGATTCAAAATACTCCTATTCAGACAATGGTACAAGCTTTCCAAAGAAATATTTCCGGTTCGTCGTTTGGCCTGACCGATTAACTTTACTATGAAGTCGAATACTTCGTGAGGATCTTTGGTGAGACAGCCTTGCCATAATTTATCGACAATTCTTGCAGTCAGGTAAAAAACGTTAGGAGTGACGTACTGGATGTGAGCTGATAGAAGCGGAACGATAGGTATGGGCAGCCTGGTCGCCTACCAGCATATCTGCTGCCAGTAGATGGTCCATTAAGGTAACCAAGATCTTCAAAGAAACAAATACAACGTTTTCGTATATTTCCAGATGTTAAATGCAATTGATTGGTCATTACTAGTTATTAAATAGAACTTACCTCTGTTTGGTACGTGATTTGCTGACTGTTGCTCGAATTTTCAGGATACGCATCCAAAACCAAATCGATGACAGGCGAATTCTTTCCAGTCAGTGGCAAACTGAGTGAATCAACGACAATAACTCTGATAAAGTCTATGATGAACTGCCTAACTGGATGGTTGATCAAGTTTTGCTCATCCGCAGCACGCGCCATCATCATCAGAGGATCCACTTCGTCTCCCGCTGGAGTAGAGGCACCGCTGCTATCTATGCTGTCACTATTGGTTATCGGAAGAAAGAGAACACTGGCGAGAGCGCTCAGGACCTCCGAAGACATGAATATCGGCATGAATTCCGGCATGTTGTGGTACAGTTGGAATAGTACCTAAATAAATGATAATTATGTTCACAAAGCGAATGAGGAATCTAAAAAGACGATTAAATTTTATACAATTCAGAAAATAATTAACTTAGACAATTATATAATAAATTCTTTCAAAGTCTATCTTCCAAATAGAAATTTCTGTAATTTGTTTTTAAGGGGCGTCGTGAAATGCAAACTCAAATACTTTTATGATATCATCTAAAGTAAATATTATTAGGAAAAACAATTGAGAACTTACTTGAACTATAGATTGGGATGGTTCTGCAACCAGGGCGGCAAACTTCCTTCTTCGGGCCATGGGCCAATCGCTTTAGCCTCCCTAATGTATCCTCTACTGCCTCGGAGAAAGCTGATCTGGGAATGAGACTGCAAATAGGTTGATGTTTGATTGAACCGCCACAGGGAATCGCCAAATCGAATCCAAATCGAACCTCATTTCCGCAGGAAGTAGCTTCGCCGGCTGTCCCATCATTAACGCCGTTATCAAAAAGTACAATTCGGAGATTTCGAGATGGTACGGAAGCAGCCACGATAAAAATTTGAAGCGGTATGTGAAGAGCTTCGGATTAAAAATCGTTGCAATGGACATTGTTTAGTTGGTTGCCTAACACGACCGCCATCTTATTGTGCGTCACTTGTTCTGTGTAACGAAGCCAACCACCATTGTTGAGACCCTCTCGGAACCTAAACGCATTTTTTTTTAAAATAAAAACATAAAAAATATTGATTTTGATCATATTGTTTCAATTTAAAAGTAAGTATTGGAAGATCTCCGATCATTTTTAGCAAATTAAAAGAAAAAACTTGCCTTCCCAACAGAGTGACTGGAACAGATGGCTACCAAGATCCTCATCGCCCAAATCACCGTACTAGAGTGCAAAATTCTGTTGCATGAACAGTAACAACCAATCAAATCCCAAAGTCTTCACTATTTCTTCCCCAATGTGATTCCTGCTCGAAAAAATCAAAGAATGCAGCAATCCCAAGCAACCTGTTCCTGAGCAAATGTGCTCCCTCTTCTCACTTCTCTTTATGAGCACTTCCCGAAGCTCCAGAGCTTTTTCTGACTCTTCGGAGGTCGAAGGCAGCGTGGAAGCCATGAATTGTCCGAAGAGCAACAAGTCGTTGTGTCTGGGTTGGTTGCTAAGCAAAAACGCTAAGCAGAGAGAAGAGGACTTGTCGTGTGGCTGGATGTTTAACGTCGGGACAGATATGTAGAAGCTTCTCTACCAGCTGGAGCTCCCTCATCACCCAAGAATTGTTCTCTTTTCGTTGGATTCGGCCGCTAGTTCGTATAGGTGCTCGAGATGCGATCTGAGGAGTTCTCCGGGGGCTTCGTACCAAACTTCAAGGTCACACAAAAGATCCTAAGAAAATTATAGTACAGCTTTAGCAAAAGAAGATGTTACACAACAGAAAATGCTCTAAAAATATGATTATAGTACTTACTTGAAACGCAGTCCTGTTAGGAATCGCTGAAGACTCTCTTCCACTATCTACGGTGCCTACCAAGCTGAAAGCAAGATGAAGGATATGCGAATTTAAGCAAAGTTCTTTTTCTTCGGAGCAACATAGCCAAAGTTTGGTAACCACGTCGTCGATCCATCTCCGATTGAGCCACTTTGTTACTTTTGACAACGCATACCAAAGCCTTCACCCCTAAATACAGAAGAATTCATATTAGACTGGTATAAAAGATGAAATTACACTGGACTAACCTGCATACAAGCTTTCTATATCTTGTGCCATCGCAATAAGTCCCAAAAGTACCGAGCAACCTCCCACAGCGTCTATTGTCGTAGCTAACGGGCTTGGACAGAAAACTCGCACTCCCAAGTACCCAATAATAACTCCCTCTTAAAGTTCTAGCCGAACCGGCTAGATGTCCTGCTGAATTGTGAAGGATCCTGATGGGGGTAGCACTTTCGTGGCTAGACATGCCCAGCTGCTTCGCTATAGACTTATTGTCAGTTCGGCTGTAGACTTTTCTTATTTTATTTAAGGTCAATTGCGAGACCGCTTTGGCGTTCAGGCCGAAGACGACCTTTTCCTCCGTGACCGCGATCCTATGTCTGGGTTGTTCAAAATTGGAGCCAGAAAAGAGCCCATGTAGTGCGAGTCCTAGCTGGTACATGTACGTCACTGTGTTTGGAGGTAGAACCTGAAAAATACTATTGTCAACAATAAAATAGACACAAATTCGAATCATTCAAACATTTATATTTCTTTGTCTCCTCTCTTTTATTTTAAGCAGTAAGTCTGTATTCTTCTTGTTTTTTGCAGATATTATATATGTACTTCATTTTTTCTTTCTGGATTCCTAATGAAGCGTTACATTGTTTGGACTGCGCCATTGCACGTATGTAAAAATCACTTATTTTCTTTGGTAGTTGATTATTTCTTGCTTCTAAAATTTTTGCAATTGTGCTGAGCGATTTTTGGGTACATGCACGGCCGCTGCAAAAACTGTCAAACGATATTATCGACCTACACTGTCCTCTGATCACACCGATCCAATAAAACCTGATTATATATACTTACTATAGATATAAATTTATTTAAATAAATAATTCAAGAAAATCATCAAATTACCTCTTCAAATAAGTGACAAGGTCCTTGCTTCCAGCACAATCTAGAATATCGCCTCCAAGCAGGTGGCGTTCCGATGTAACCATAAACAGAGGAAGCGACGGTCAAGTTAGCGGCACCGCCTCCAGGATTTTGCGAAATATAGTGCATCTTCTGGTTGTGTATCTGCTGCCCATCGAGGTACAACGAAACGAATGAATTCTTCAGTACGGCCCTGTTTAGCACGACCACCATGATGCCATTGACCTTCTTGCAGAATATCAGGACAACCAAACCCTTGCTCCGTGCTCGCCGGAGCCTTCAGGCTCCCAATCTCCTATATCTGGAAACGGGAACCATTTAATTTGCACACAATGGCATTTCAACAAGTTATTAAGGATGACATTAAAATTTTAGGGAAAGCCTAAGGTTACAAAAAGACAGGACATGTGAGAATTATGGATAAAGGGGGGAAATGAAGGAGAAAAGCAAGGAAATGAAATAAAGAACGAAAAAAAACGCGGAAAATCAAGATATAGGTGAAAATGGGAAGCCAGAAGAAAAAAAAACAAGATAAAGATGAAGAAAGCAAACAAGAGCAAGGGGAATATTAAGAGATGGAAATGACAACGGATATGGAAAGAAAGTAATAGAAAAGTAATGTAAGAAGAAAGGATAAACGTAGAATTAAGAAATAAATGTAAACCTTAAAGCAACAAGGAAAATGGGAGATAAAATAGAATGGAAAATGGGAAATAGAAACAGCAGAAATAATATCAAGCGTATCCAAAAGAAAACTAATATAAATAGAGAAAGAAGAAAAATGGTCAAGACAACTAGAAAAAATAAAAACGGCAGTAAGGAGAATGAGAAAAAAATAAGAGGTTAAAAATCAGGAGGCCGCTTACGGAAAAGAAAGTGAAAATTCTCCGATTTCGTTGCGGAAAAGACGAAGAGAGGGAGGAGCGCGGGAAATAAAAGAAAGGGAAGACAGACCAAAAAGGCATGTTAAAAATTTTTAAATTGTAGTTCTGGGAAGGAAAAGATAAGGTAAAGGGATAAATTATATAAAAGGAGCAAGGGGAATATCAAGAAGAAATGTGAAAGGTCAAATAAAGAAGGAAGAACGCTAAAAAATATAATGAGAGAGTGCATGGAAAAAGAAGTAAGGAAAACGTATACGAAAAGAAAGGAGGGAAAAAAGGAGGTAATCAACGAAGAAATAAACGGAAAGAAAGTAATAGGCAGTACAAAATACAAAATAAGGTATTAAAATGTTTATCAGATAGAGAAAGAGAAACTATTGATAAATACAAATAGAAAAGAAATAAACAAGGGGAAGATAAAGAGGGAAGAAGGCAATAGGATAGTGGGAAGGGTAGGGAAAGTAGAAATAAAATTATTTGTCTGCAGAAAAGGTGAAGAATATTTCCAGTAAAATAGTAAGTGAATTAGCTGGAGAATATCAAGAAAACCGTAAAGACAACATAGACTTACGAAAATAAGGGGGGAGCATAGCAGAAGAGAGTGTAAACGTAGGTGGAATTAAGACAGAATACAAGAAGAAATCAACGGGAACGGAAAATAGTGAAAAATGCAAAGGAATAGTAGAAATAAGCGGAAAGGTTGTGGAGGAAAATAAGAAAGAGAAATTTGAAGAAGTGAGAAATGAAAAAAATTTGGAAAGCAAAGCACAACAGCAAAAGGAAATATCAGAGGAAGGAGAATCGAAAAGTAACGAACATAGAGATGATGAAAGAATAATGGTTAAAAATACAAGTGGAAGAGGAAACATAAATGAATTAGGAAGGATTAGATGAAGGTGGAATAACATGAAAGAAGGTCAATAGGAAATAGAGGAGAAAATAATTACTTTTCTGTGAAATTGTGAAGAAAATATGGCGAAAAAAGACAGCTTTTGAGAAAAGGGGAAAACGCAAAAAAAAAGAGAATGTGAAAGTGAAAATAAGATTAATGTAGAGATTAAAATAGAAACAAAATAATCGGCACAAATATACAAAAACCATCAATTAAATGTTTAAACCTATGAAAAAATTCTTAAAAATAACCTTTTATTTTTTTTATGTTTTTTTTTACGGTTGGGTATGTGCGTTTCTTGGGTGGAAACAATGATAGCTTTGTCTCTTGCGGACAAAAACTATTGAAAGGCAAACCAAATGGTCTTCTCGAGCCCGACCTGAAGTTTCTTGACAGAGTCAGCAGCCGTACGCAGTGTGGATCAGACCTAGGGTCGGAGAATTTATCGACACAAATCCACGACGAGTAGCTAAGACTGTTTTTTGCGGAGGAAACATACGATCACAGCACCTAGAACAAATTAAGACATTTTTTAATAATACAAATTGTATAAAGAATGTTAACAGCTTACCTATTCCTCCTAAAACGCTGCTATCAACCGTCGATACCACGCTCGGAGCTGACGGAGACTGTGGTGCTATACTGGGCAGATAGAGACAACCGAATCCTTCAGCCGACATATCGAATTCGACGAATGGGGGCAAGGTATACGAAGATTGCGCTCGGAAATCTTTGGGCGTTGTCATGGAGACCAAAGTCTTGATCCTGGTCAAAGGTACCGGGGATAACTCCTGGTTCGTTGGAACCAATGGAAGGACAGGCAAAGTGGGATTTCCTAATCTAAAAAATGTAACCAAATGCTCTAAAAACTGCGGAAAATATTTTTTTATCATCATTCATTGAAAATTCAAAATACGTTCCGTGTTTTAAAGACCGCATATTAAAATAATGTCACACTTGTCATTTGTCACTTGTCAGCTATCCTATAATACTTTTTTTCCTTGTAAAATGTCGTCTAATTAATAAAGCCAGTGTACAGAGCATGTGAATGTCACGTGTTTACAACTAACCTTAGAAACTGCCTCAAATCTTTGGCTTCTATGGCTTGGGCTGCCAATCTCTCCAGCATATATTGCAGGGAATTGTGCAAGGGGTGGTTTTCGTTCTGTAGTGGTTCAGATCCGATCGTCAAAAGGTAATTGGCGAAGTTCTTGTCGCACATTACTTGTTGATTTCTTTCGCTACGCACTAAAGACTTTATGATTTCAGCTATGAACAACTGGAGGCTCAGGTACATTTCGAAGTGGTCGTCCTGAAGAAGATAAAATGAGGAAACCAATAGATTAATCATAAACCAATGAGTTAATCATTATTTTACTTACTTTTATACATGGTAAAAGTTGTAGCATGCAAACTACAACTCCAGGATGAACTATGATTGGATCTGGAGTTGGGGGGCTTAAATTTAGGGAATTGACATTTGATCGCTTTCCGTTAATATCTCCCTAAAAATAAAGAATGCATGCGTTCAAAAATACTAAATTGCTGCTGTAGCTCTGCAAATTATGTTTTTAAAAAATAATATTTTTTCTATATATTATTAGACTAACCCATTCTAGCGGCTGTTTCTTCTTTAGATTCTTTGTATCACTGACTGATAAAAATCGTTTTTTCTAATTGTGTAGTGATCTTGAACACGCAGCTTTCATAGACAAGTGACATATACCGTCATAAACAGCAATTTTGAAGTGGGTGGAGCTTCCCATATTCACTCCAGTTAATGAAGTAGTATGCAAAATACGTCTAAGGGGAAATTTCATGGTATTAAATTATTTATATCCATGCCCCATAGAAGCAGAAGATCGAACTAGTAACGTTCATTTCTATGACCAACTAGCAGTAGAATGTGAAAAACGACAGAAGAGAGATGCAGTTATAGTCCTGCGTGATGTGTAAGAACGCACAGAGCTGGGAAATGAGCCCAAATATTCTGCAGAATCCTTTGGTAAGCATAACGTTTTACATTGATATTCACAGCAACAACGGTATAAGAGTGGCCACAGTTGGCAATGGCAAACAAACTAAGAGTTGTTACGAATCGTGTTTCCACTTATAAAATATTCATAAGAAACTGGAGCCCTGGATTACCGAGGTACTAATAAATTTAATCAAATTGATCACTATATTAATGTCTCAAGCGCGTGGGCACTCTCCGTAACAGGTATGTTTAGAACTTACAGAGGCGCACTATTCGCGATTCCGGACCATCTCCTGGTTATTATCGAAGAATCAAACTAAAGAATATCAAGAGTTAGAAATAGAGAGAGAGGCGCCAAACATAAGATAATAGTAGCACATCATATCGTATAAATAAACATATCTGTCTAAAAAGAAGAAGGAGTTCCAGCAGAAAATAAAAGTAGTGATTTAAATGAAGGAGGAGAACAAAACAACGTTGATAGAAGATTGGAATGTCATCCAAACGACAATTACAAATATGGCAAAGGAAACATTAGGTGAAACCTCAAGCAAAAGAAACAGGAATGGTTATGACCAAGATTGCCAACAAGTAATGAAATAAGAGCCAAAATAATAGACTAGACACGAAATGTCTCACAAAGGGATTCCGATGGAATCAGAGGGCCAATACGAAGAACAGCAGAAAAGATATCAAAGATAAATATGTAGAAGAACAAAAAGAGAGAAATGTTTGAATAGGGAACAATACACCAAGGTTACAGATTATAATCAAACAGAAGATAAGACTAGAATAATTTTACAAGGAAACCAAGCAAATACACCCAAGGATACATAGTACAATGATCAACAGTTTTTTTAAGAGAGTCTTAAACATAGAAAAAGAAACAAAACAAAATGAAGAGAAATAATTCATCACACAGCAGAATAGTGTGAAAACCAACATTGGAAGAACGATAAAGGTCATAAAACATCTAAAAAATAACAAAGCACCTGACACACATGGAACTAACTTTGGAACTGATTAAGAATAGTGGACATGCGCTATGATGCGTATCTATAACTACATTGGGACGCATATGGACAATGTAAGTCATACCAAAAAGATTGTGAAAGTAGGAATCATACTTCATTATGTACATTTGGGGGTGACACACTATTCTGCAAAAATTTATAGGGAATAACTGTTTTAAATGTCGTTTACAAGATTTTATCAGGATATGATTATACAGCCGATGGAAATCGTTTTCGGTGATGGATGATAGTTGAAATACCAATGTGCTTCGACCAAAGAGGTCAAACTATAGGCCAATACATTTGTTATGAGGTGTACACGAATAATATGTGAATATAATATACCCATTTAAATTTGTATATCGATTACCTACAGGCGTTTGATCGACAAAAGATGTCTAAGACTATCTATGTTAGGGATACTCAAGAGTTGGTTGTAGGCGTTTTAAAAATTGTTAATATTTAATTCTATATAATAATATAAATTCTGTTTTAAATTTTGTAGTTACCGTCTGTGTTGTTTCTCTGCGTTTGGTCTTTTATAAAGGAATTTTAATACGATCAATATTTTATGAATTGTTAAGTTGAGATTCTTAATATCAAGTTTTGTATACATTCAAGTAGTATACATTCAAGAGTCTAAGCTTAGAATCTACAAAACAGTAATTAGACCAGTGGTTCATATATGGATGTGGAAACATGAACCATCTCACCAACTGATGAATATCAACTGAGAATATTGAGCGCAAAATACTAAGAAAAGGTATTTTGACCAACCCAATGCAGCGAGGGTTGTGAGAGAATTAAATTGAACCACGGAGCTGGAATGAACTAATGCAGCCCAAGGATACATGACAGATCAACAGTTTTTTTAAGAGGTCTTGTTGCCATTAGAAAGAAGAAGAAGAGCTTCCCATATTAATTATCAACAAAGTTTTTAATGTCTCTAGCTTCAAGGAACAAATTTCTGTAATTCTTTTTATATAGGCCAGCGTATTATTCACCAGAAAGTACAGAACTACGGAAGCCTGTCTTTCTCCTTAAAAGTCTATTCTTCTTTGATACCACGATATATTAATTGAGACAGGAGACGGAAAGAGAAAAGTCAGATTCTTAAGCAAAGTTACCATTTAACTGATCGAATAAAATGTACCCTTTTCTTAAATTAATAAATTTATTAGTTTATTAAACACGTGGTAGTCATAGACAAGTGACATATAACGTCACCATTGACACATGACATTACTAGTTCTAATGTTGACATGGATGGGGCTTCCAATACGAACTATACCTTTCCATTAGTTTCTAATATAAAAAAGGATTGTTTTAAAATCGTTCTAATGAATTTATTTGTCGTTCGACGAATAAAAATAGGTAAAAGTGTATAAATTTGTGAACCTTTCCACAAATTTTTTAACGGAACATGTTTTTACAGCACTTGTTAATATTTTGACACGTTTCAATAACATTGTGTATATAGATATATATATCAATACATAATTTAATAAATATAAACTCACCTGAATACTGATATCTCGAGACAACGGTGGAGATTTAGTGGAAAATATATTTGTATTAATATTTTTATCAAATAAGTCTAACGCTAGGTCATATAAAAGCCTGTATACTATTGTAGTGTAAGCTAACGACGGGGATATCTCTTCTGGAATGCTAAAAAACACAAAATAGTGAACTATATATAAGTAAAATATAATGTTTTCAAGACATTACATTATAAATAAAATATGTGGAAGCTAATGAAATTGTCATTACATGGGAAGAAGGGACTTGGACTTCAACGACATTCTGTCTTTTTCCTGAACGGTTTGCAGAGGGACAGAACCGTCTATGGTGAAGAACCCTCTGCATTGATTCCATGTGTCGGTAGAATTTTTATTCTTCTTTTATTGGCGAGAAATAAAACTCATTTTAAAATGAAAAGTACAGCCATGAGTCTTAAGATGTCTGCACAAGGGAAGCAGAGCTCTGACAGAGGAATCCCAGAGTGCAATGGATTCTGTATGGGAGCAAGACTGCCTTGCCTAACCCGAAAACGCCCCATATTTATACACATTTTTGAGTATCGATGGCACACATGAAATTTAATATTCTGGGAATAAGCGAAATGCGTTGGCCAGGTTCAGGAACCGCAAATACCGCATGAATTAGGTGTCGGCGGTATATTGACAAAAGAAGTAGCAAATTTGTTGACAACGTCACCCCAATCTCAGCAAGAGTGATGCCTCTAATTGAAAGCAAGATCAATCGACATCAATATTATTCAAGTGTATATACCTACAACAGAAGGAACAGAAGAAGAGGTAGAAGAACTATACCATAACATTCATCAAGTGGTGAAAAGGTTGAAAAAACAGGACAAAACAAATTGTCATGGGTGACTTCAACGCCAAAGTTAGGGCCAGCGAAACATCATCAGCTCGACTCGCAGCAGAAGGCTACAACCATTGACTTCAACATGGGTTGAAGTCAAGAGAAGAATGGGGAGAACCACGGAGTGTTAGAAAGCTATACTCTAAGGCCTTCTGCAGACCGGATGCCTTCGACGTGCAGGCACCTTTGACGAGCCAGACTTCTTCGAAGTCAGAAGCCCCTGATGCCAATGGAAGTCCAGAAGTAGACCCAGGCATCGCCCCCCTACCGAAAGTGGTTGGACGACCACGTAGGCTTCGGCACCCTGGTACTCTGCGAAACCCCTGGATATGGCAGATGGGATCCGGACGACCGAGAAGAAGACGAACCCGTCGAAGTTGGCACGGCGATCGAGGATGGACTTGCAGGAGCCGGAGATGCCGTCAACACCACCGACCTCCCTATTAGTGCTGTGCAGTGAGTTTGCTTAAAGACAATTTTTAATTTTATTTACATTTTCATGTATTTTTATATATCTCATACTTTCCATACATTTTTATGTATTTTTACTTATTCTTGTGTTACTTCACATGTATTTTATTGTAATTTGATATTTTTGAATTTTCAATAAATTTTTTCCCAGCCACAGAGCCTCCAGAGGAGGGGGATGTTCTCGGACGCGACTAGCTCACGTTCGAGACGCATCACCCCGCCCATTATTTTTCCCGTTGGTCCCTCCCTGACCTGGAAATCCCTAATCGCTACTTCAGATAGTATAAAAGTAGGCGATTTTCAGGTCAATCAAGTCAGTCCCTCACGGGCTCTCCGAGAGCTTAGTGCTCTCGGGGCTCTGCTCTTGTTTTTAGCTTTATCCATACTCTGTGGCTGAGATGTTATTCTACTGCAACCTGGTATTTTTATTTCGACTTAACCTTTGTCATGTAAGAAATATCTTGCCTTTTTCAAGGCAAGATACCAGAAGAAAACATTTACGAGTCCATACCCTGAAAATGGACTTGAGTAGAGGAGCTATCGTTGATGTTTTCGAACCCTCTACAGAGCACTCGGAGGCATTAGAAGGCGTTTAGACCCTTTCCATTTACCCCGAGGTGACAGATATGAGTGAAGACGCAATTTTAATCGGACGGAAGACTGAACCGCATATACGTCATAATCATGACTTTTAATGTTACAGTTATCGTTTTGTGGCGCGCAAATTCAACATTAACCAAAAATAAAGAAAGCTTTCGCTTAAATTCTAAAAACTTACTCAGGATTAGTGACAGGACCGACAAAAATATTCTGATAGACCTCTTGGAATCCATTGGACGTCGTTTCGAAATCTATTTCACTAATTTTAGATACTTTCTCGCCCGAAAAGCATCCCAACAGTCTGACGGTATCGCAGAGACTAGTCCTGCAGACTTCGTGGTAAAAGAACTTGGCGTTGGCCGGCTCAAAACGCATAGCGGTGCAAATCGTTTGGAACACTATGCTCAATAGCTGCAATACTTCGGGATTCGATTCTTTTTGACTCAAGCGACCTTCTAGAGCCACAAGAACGCTGGTTACGTACACGAAGCCGTTAGTCTGAAAACAAAAAGAAGGATAAAGCTACAAATGAAGATAATATGAAAATTTAAAGTGCAAAAAAATATTCTTCTTGTGATTACCATGAAATATTATCAAGAAATATGGCAAAACACGGTACAGCAAATATTTCTGCGTTTCTGATCAAAAATTTGTTTTTTTGCAAAACTTACCTTTCTAAATACTGTTCTGGTACGATGTGACTCCTTCAAACATAGCTTCAATGCTTCCAATATGTCAATTTTTAGCTGCAATTGTGTTCTTGGCGCGGAATTTAAAGTATGAAGAAGCTGAGTCATATCGTCGTCACCGCCTGTAGTTAATACTAGTTCTTTAATAATACCTATAAGAAAAAAACTGTGTAAAACAAATAACGAGTCGCAAAATTATTTAAATATGACTCACCTAAAATTGAATTTCTACATTCCGTATATTGTACTAGTTTATGCACGCATTTCGCTCCGCCGCATTCTCTTAAAACATTCGCGTTGGAGCTATTGCTCGTTAACAAGATCGTCAAAGCTTCGACAACTAATTCTCCTAATTTTTCTTGTCTACACACTAATTTGTAATCCTTGGCGTTTGTCCCTACAAATCACACACACAAAACATAAAAACCTTAACCTCACATAACCTAAAAATAATGTTTGCACTAAAAATTAAACAATTTAATGTTTGTAAATTGACCGAGTGTCAGTTAGGACTTACCTGAGACTTTTTTATCTTCAAGCAAACTCCCATAACGCGTCAAACAAGTGACCATAACTTCTAGAAGTCCTACTTCTCGATACACGTCTTTAAAAATAGGATTATGCTTCAAGATGTTCAGTAATGTTTGCATACACAATATGCTACAGTCTACGTAATTTAGACTGTGCGTCTTCAAAAATATAGACATCGATATCAATTCCTTACAAGGTACAAAATTTAATTGGTATACCTGAAAAAAGAAATCGTATTAAAAACACACAACGCGCATGACGCGCAGGTGCATCAGATGATGACGCGCAGGTGCGTCAGATGTTCAGGAGAGAACGAGCAAATGCGTTACACTTTATGTGGTAGTTGCTCCATCTTTAGTCCGTATTTGCAATTAATAGATAAAAAGAATGTAAAAGGTCACTTGGACACAAAATATTACTTATAAGTTAAGATTCATTCAAAAAAATCCATATTAAAAGCGTTAAACATTGGAGCAGTTCTTTATATATTTGATTAATGTACTCACCAAAAACTCGATGAGGTCGAACAATTTCTGTTGTATCTCGGCTGGTTTGTGCTGAATCTTCTCTGTGAATTGAGTAAGGGTGTTCTGGTTCTCTAAGATAAAGTAGTTGGCGTTGTCTGAGTGATATATGCTCGATATGGCGTCCAAGATGGTGGAACACAGAAGAGATGAGTTGGATTTAAGAAAAGCGTTCTGCAGAACCTGCAAATAACAAAGCGATAAGTTTAGTAGAAGACTGGGAAAACAGGCTTGTACATAGTCTTCCAATACAAATTTAATACCAACAATCTTACCCTGAATGCCTGGATATTTCGAACGCTGGTTCCTCTACCGGAAGGTTGTGGTAAAATGAAGCCTTGCATTTGGAATAAGGAGCCGGTCGAAGCCTGAGAAGGCTTTAACTCGATATAACCGCACATACACAAAGATGTTACCATTAACACTAAGTTCCTTATCGTTTCTTGGGCTTCACTCGAATTGTCATTTTCAAACCTATAAAACAAGCTAGTTTTAACGATATTTGACTTGGAAGCACGACAACAATGAACAGCATTAACATAACAATATAGGTAATTTATATCACCAAAATGTCTTTCATGGTATGTTTACTTACTTGAGGAGGAAATCCGATAGGAAAGGATAGCCTTGAGCTTGTCTAAAGTCATCTAGCAACGTCGAAGACACTTCGCTGGAATCTTTGAGGAAACAGAATAATGTGACAAACATTTCCACCAGTTCTAAAGGTGCCAGTTCCGGAATTTTCTTCATGTTTTGAATGCAGCCGGCAACACAGGAATTTGCTGCAACAAAACAGTGCTAAATCCATAGGTATGCATGACGAAATTGCCTTTCTTAATCCGAGAATAATCCAATCATGAGTTAATTTTTATAATGAAAAGGGGCTACTATTTTTTTTTAAGAGTTATACAAAAATAATAAATTACAATATTGCATGGTAATAACCAATAAACACTACAAAATACAACCTACATCTAGTAGAGAAAATAATTGTTTATACTTACAATGAATATATCCAACGACCAATGGAGTAAGTCCATGTCTGGATAAAGTCATCAATACTTCAGCAGCACTTTTTCTCCACATGGTATTGTACGAGGCAACTGATGAGGTGATTGCTGTAAACAACAAACGCAAATCGTCCTTTCTGGCTAGTTCTTCTGAAGGTATCCTATGGCTGCAGAGCCGGACTAGAAGCTAAAAATAAAGAATAAATATATCACGAGAAAGTTGCGAGCGGAGTCCACAAATAAAATAAAAATATGGTCGCAGACATTGTCTTATAAGATCAATATACTTACTTGAACGAAAATCTTTTGTAAAAGTATTCTTCTCTCCTTCGGAGTGAAGTCGCTATTGGTGTCTTTGGTGTTAGCTTCCTTTTCTGAGAGTTCAGGTAAGTCGAAGAACAGGTACAAACATTTCACTAAGGTAGAAGGTACAGAAACCTCTGACATAACCTAAAATTCAGGAAAATGTGATTACAAATACTCTTCAGACTCGTTTCTGAATTGTACTCACCTGTACCAAGGTGTAATCTCCAGCGGCTAAAAGATTGAGCGTAGAAAGCAACATCCAACCATTACTGGACTCCTCACAGTTTTCTATTTCGAGAAATTTCGCGATGGCGCAGCTGGCAGCTTCCGTGCTTTGATTAGAGGCCCTTTTGCGTATTTCAGAAACCATCAGCAGCGACACCTGCTGGCAGAACGCCAGAATGTCCCAGAATTTTTCATTCATGTCACAAGTGGGACTTGAACCAAACACCTAAGAAATGCAAGTCTTTCAAATATCTTTTAACAACCTTAACTATATAGCCAGACTTAATAGATCGTGAAAGCCTACGTAAGGTCAAATCTCAAAGACTATACTTTGTCTCAAAGTGACTACTCTGTACAGGGGAGATGTGCAATGCTAACCTTATGGAAATGTTTTATGCAGTGAGCGATGGCGTTCTCTATTGTCTATCTTTCAAAATAAACGGAATAAACCAGGAGTTCTCAACAAGTCTTCACGTACAATTTTATGTAATTTACAAATTAATATCGCTAATAATTATACATAATACTATACATTATTTGTTTCTAATAGTAACTTATCAACTTGTATCTTTGATTAGTAGCAGTAGTATAATAAAATGTGCATTAAATAAACATTTGTTTCAAAGTTTTTCAAATACTTTCTTTTAAGTTATTCAGTAATTAAGAAGCAATTAGAGTAATTCTTGTACAGAATATGTTTAAAAGCTTGATACATCCAGGGCCTTAATTAGTCTTCATTTGTTCTTCGGAGCGCATAAACATATTCGAGTTACGATGATTTGTACCATCTTGGATGTACTGTTACTGTTTTGTTGTTATTATTTGTTGGTGGCTGTTGTTGTGATTTGCTGTAGGCAATTATTATCATTTTCTGTTGTTGGCTATTGTTATATTTGACGCCGAATTTTTACCGCAAAATGGAGGAAATTGTTCAATGGAAACGTGAAAAAGCTCTGAAACTTTCAGAAAAGCAGATACTAATGAATATTATTAATTATCATCTTAATCAGGATAACAACCAAGTGTAATTAGGAAAGTGTCAGAAATAGTGGTGTTTGCGAAAAACTCTGTTTCGCATACGACAGGAATATTCATCACCTGCTGGATTACAGTCTCCAAAGAGCAGCCCCAAGAAGCGAAACCAAAACCCCAATGGGACCAAATTCGTAGAATAGTTCATCAATTATTTCGTGACAACATAGCACCAACAATAAACACCATACTAGCTGTTGTAAATGTCGAAGATACTTTGCCCAACTTTTCACGGACTACGCTACATCGATTGCTAAGTGATATGGATTTTGTGTTTATAAAAAGTGGCAGAAATTCAATTTTGACTGAAAAACCAGAAATTATTATCTCGTAGCGTCATCGTTACTTACGCGCAATTCGTAAATACCGTGCAGAAGGATACAACATAGTGTATTTGGATGAATCATGGGTAAATATAGGGCACAGTGTGAAAAAAGAATGGGTTGATAAAATAATTACATCTCATCGCGATGCTTTTGTTGCACGGTTCGTTTTATTGCAAGTAGGATCTACCAGTGGATTTCTTGATGGAGCAGAACTCACGTTTTTGGCAAAAAAAAAATACTCAGGACTACCACGACGAAATGGATGGACCGACCTTCGAATATTGGTTCGAAAATAACTTAATGCTAAATTTGCCAGAAAAAACTTTTGTGGTAATTGACAATGCCTCCTATCACGGCAGAAGTTCAGAACAAATTCCCAACAGTTCAACACTAAAAAAAGATATTCAAGAATGGCTTCCGTCAAAGGAATTATTTTTTGAAGAAGACTAACTATAATAATGAAGATGATGATAGTTAAGCAGAAACTAATGCTGACAGCGATTGCCAGAAAAAGGAACTAAATATAATGGTGTACAATTACAATTACTTACACACGAAATTAAATACAATGACTTCTTTTATTTTCAACTCATTTATTTGTTTTATTTTCGGAAATTTCTACATTTTGTTGCTGCCAACATATACAGTGCAGTTTTTAAAAGTCCTTCCCTCCTTAACTTTTGAATGGAACAATACATAAATAAAATGTTTCTTTATATATCAGTTTTATTTTAATCAATTCTATTTAAATCTATAAACAAATGATTTGTATCACTCGTACATAATGTAGAATTGAAAACAAACTGCTTGTGTGGCATAAATAAAAGACATTTCTTAATTTCTATTTTATTTTAATTTAACCCAAGTATGTTGCAGCAAATATTATTTATGTTTGAGAACCACTGACAGAAGGAAGCCAGGCAGGGTCGTTAGTGGGCATTAGTACTTAAGCTACCCTCAACACAAAAGATGGATTAGGCTAAGTAGTAAGAAGTGACATTTATTTTAATACAAGTTTGCAAAGAGGTATGACATCATGTTGTGCATTTACCCTGTACAGACTAGCAACTTTGAGACAATCTATAGTACTATATCTTACCTTGCAAAAGAGGGGCAGCATATTGTAGAGTTTGTCATCCTTTTCCTGCTCAGTGAGTTGGTGTGGCGGATGAGTATACTCGGAGAAGAGTTTCTTGAGGTGCATCAGCCCCAACTGAGTATGCGGCGACGAAGGGGAGTCACCCAAGTCTGAAGATGATGCAGAAGAGGGGTTGGTGGCCCCGCTCCTCAATTTGCGCATGATGTTCATCTTGGAAGGCTTTTCAGAGCCCCCTGTTAGATAAAGACGAAAATATTAAGAATAATAGTCGCAAAAAGATTGATGTATTTCAAAAATTATGCACGGGTAAACGATTTGTCGATATTTCTAAATTGAGTTTCCTAAAAGTATGGCTCACTGTTCCGATTCACCGTTCCGTTCCGCCCACCTCTAATATCACCCAAATTCTTATCAATATGTATCGCTGAGTACAGTAAAAAAAAATGCAAAACTCGACCAATAAACACACACGTCTGTTTTGTTTTGAAATATACGCGATTACTCATGCTAAATAAGGCAATCACCTTTGCATTAATCTATAATAATTTCCTGCAAACGCAAAATAATATTTGTTTTGATATTCCTACTCGTTTTTTACCGGTTTACCTTGAAACGTTAATAATCCTTTATGAACCACAATATCAATCATTAAATTGTTATGACTTACTTAATAGGCAGCTTTTGTGGTTATCTAACATTTGTTGATGTTTTTAAAAGGTTTTTATGCGATACAAAAAGTGCAATATTGCACCATGCCGACTGTGATTCATGATAAAATAAATGCTCAAAATCAGTTTTTTATTTATTTTTTCATATTTTATAAGCGATAATTTGGTGATCTTTTAGTTCAAAATGTACTCTTTTTATACGGAAAAACCAAGTGATTTAATTACGTAAATATATCATTTATGACGCTGAAACGTGTCATTAAAAGCCCGCAAATAGAATTATTCTTATAACAATAAAACACGAAAAAAAAACAAACAAATTAACAGAGCTAAAAATATATATACAATAGTTTTTCTTAGAAAAATCGTGAGAAAATAAACGGGAAGAAAAGCGATAAAAAGTTCTATCATTTTTGTTCTTAAAGAATTATACCTAATTATCTATATAAGAGTTCATCAATAGAAATAGAAAAGCAAAAAAACTTTGAATTGAAGACACACACCATTCACCAAATGATATAAATAAAAATTGATAGATATGATAAATATATTAGAAAATACTTACTGCATAACAACAATCAATGACTAAATAGAGATACTACTTTCAAGAATATTAAAAAAAATATCCTAATTTTACCAAAAAAATCTATTAGCTGAGAACAATGCACTATTTTTGGTAGTATCTTAGGCTAGAATTTGAAATCCGCCTTTTAAAATTTCTATTTGATATCTGTATTATTAAATAACTATTAACAATGATTGACCTAATAGATAAGCGAATTTTAAGTGTAAATATCTATTTTAAAACAAAAATATTTGACAGTATAAGGTCGGAGGGGTCATTAAATCAAAAGAATTGAAGTGATTACATATTAAACACCTTTTCCGATATTTACGCCAAATGATAGTATAAAAACACACCAGGTGGATGTGGTGCTGGTGTAACAATTTTGAATGAAATACACTAAAATCTCCAGTGGAAATATTGAAGAATTAAAAAAAAAACATACGAGAATTTTTGTGTTAAAAATTATTTTTGACTAAAAATAACCTAGATAAAAATATAAAATAAAAGCTCTACACAGGAAGTAATTATTAAATTAACGAAATGATTCACAAATTAGCAGCTTTATATCACGTTCGCCAATTTGTTCGTTGTATATTTCTAAAAAACTGAATTAGGGGCGAAAAAGTAATTTCTCAAAACGTAATAACAACTGGAAGGAGGAAAGGATCGATTTCTTCGGGAAACGGGGTTTCCAGGATTCCAGGAAACTTTCGAAAAATCAGCGTTTTCCGTAATTACCTGTTAAATATCTAGTGGCATCCCAATTTCACATCACATAATGAACATACATTTGTTTAAAAAACAGCTGACATAGCTTTTCACAACAAAAATATAACAAATTACAATTTCATTTCCATTTCAAAGCACTCAACACTGTTGACAGTGACAGTAATGACAGAAATCGCTGTTGACAAACATTGACAAGCGGCAGAAAAACCGCTGGAGCGCATAAAAACTGGCCTTTAACTATTTTGGTTAAACGGCAAAAATTAATCATCAACATAACCCGTCATTTTTGATTATAATTCTTCAAAATAAATAAAAATAATGGATAATAGTAATAATGAGGTATACACAATTGGAATTTGTAAAGAAATGTGCCCTTCTAGTGAAGCAAGACTGTAAGCTCTTAACAGTATAAATAATTTGCCTCTAATAAATATTTTGAGATTATATTAAATGTGTAAAAAGCCTTAACTCTGAATAGATATTATTGCTTTTAGGAGAGAAAAACAAGGTTTGCTTCATATTTTGGAAGTTGTTCCCGGAACTGAACATCATAAAAATCCGAAAGCTGATCTAAAACGTGTAGTTAAAGAATTTACCAGATCAGCAGCTGGGAAATCTTTTCTTATCACTGAAAACTTGAGACCACCTGATGTGCTATTAAAGACTATTAATTATTTACTAGATGAGTATGTACTATGAGTACTTTTCTTTTATAAACTGTATTTTAAGTGATTGAAGAACCTTTGACATTTTAGAGTTATAAGTACCAATAAAAAAGTACCATGGATGGTCAAATATGACTTCATATTAGATAGATTAAGAGCTGTAAGCAAGATATGGTTATTCAGAATGTTTCAAGACCTCACCAAATAGTTATATTACAACCCATTATTAGATTTCTTACTTATTCATCCTATAGGTATAGTATATTACCAAATTTTCATACTGTTAAAAAATGTTTAAAGATAAGATAGCTTTCTGCTTTATTATGACTTTTCTAAATTACCTGATTGTGAGTATGAGTTAATAAAAGACCTACGAAGAATGTTATTGCTTATATGCAGTGTTTTGGTCATGGCTGTCAATATTACAAGTTATTTTTAAAAACTGAGTATCTTTCACTGTAATTCAGTTTTCATGTATTTTTTAGATGCTGTGAAGAGGCCATTAATACTTTCGATCCTCATATAAACAACACTCATCTTCAAGAATGTCTTAAAAGGTTATTGTGCACATATGACTACTTTGACAATCTTGAAAAAAGCTCTAAACAAGAAATATCTAGTGACTTTTTAGTTGAGAGTAGACCATATTTCGAAAGTTTGTATTTGATTTTCAATTTGGGGATGCGAATGCTCTCAATAGGTATCTAATTCTGCCACCACAGTGGAGGTGAGTATACATTTTTGAATTGAATTAAAATTTTAATGAAACAGCATGGGATGAAAAATACACAATTAAGTTGGTTTTAATTATAAAACTGTGGGGAAAATAACGAATAGAAGCAAAATAATATCCAGTTTAAACTTGATTGAGGAAAATTGATCAGAAACATAGTGGGATGGAAAAAAATGGATAAAATAATTTGCAAATACTGCTATAAATATTTCTAGGGATCAAGGCTACTATTGAAGATAAGAAAACAATTTTTTTTATGAAATTAATATTGTTATTCAAGTGTTGCTCTATGAAGAGAGTTGTTATATTTGTGATTTGTTGTATAAATGTTTAATTATCATTTCTAGAAGTTCTTTAGTGAAAACATCTATGAGGATATGTCTGAATTATGTGAACAGAAACATTTCTAAAGTAATTAAACTGTTTAAACAATTACCACTGTCTCTTCAAATGATAGCTTTTCTTCATTTGCCAGAAATACGAAGGTAAATATACAATCTAATGTTTTTTTGAGATTAGCTATCATTGTCGACTATTCTTTGTCTTTAGAACAACTTTGAAAATCATGGCATCTGCATATCATAGTAAAAACTTGACATTTCCCCTAGATGTTCTGTCAGATATGCTTCTTTATAATTGTGTAGATGAATTGATAAGAGACTGCAATTATTATGGTTTAAAAATTCAACAAAATGGGGTACAATTTATGAAGACTGATTTTCTTGAGGATAAAGCCAAGGTAAGATTAAAAATTATTATTTTTGATTGGTCTGTAGGAAAAGTTGATCATTATGTACTTTTCTCATCCACTGTTACATCCCATTTTGACTCAAAAGCCTCTAATGAATAATGAAAACAAAATAGGAGAGTTTTGTCATTCTCTGACTTCAATTTAAGTTTATTCTTAACAAATTAGTTACTAATATTGTAATTTTTAGGTCAAACCAAGGCGTAGTGAAGAAATTGACAAAACATTGAAAGATACTGATATTAGTATGTTTTTATTGTATGGGGATCACTGATAAACATCCAATAGAAATATTTATTGTACATATTGTGAAAAAAATACTTTTTAGTAAAACTTTTTATTTGATTTTGGTTCATTTGTATATATTAATTTCTCGAAAGGAACATGTTCAGACATTTTAATCAAAGTAATGAAAAAAAAACTCACACAATCAAGTATCAAATGAACTGACAGAATTATTTATTGTATATAGAGATGTTTTTTCATACATATAGTTAGAATATTTGGTTGCTATATTATTGTGAGTTGGCAACAAGTGGCGAGAAACAGACCCAAGTGCATGTGCAAAGGCTTGTCACTTGATGTTGACAGTACAGCATGATGTATTAAAAGAAATAAAAGTTACAACACTCAACATATAATATTGTTTATCTTGACAACATATATCTCCTATAGGTATCATTAGATGAGAAAGAAGGTCTATTCATGGTAAAATAGTTCTTTGACAGTTTAGGGTTTTTTCTTCAAGAAAAAGGCATACGAATATGAGAAAACATAACCCTAAATTCAATATTCTTTCTTACATCAAGATTATTCTATACGCAAAGTTTTAAGTGTCTAAGACTTTTCCTTCAAGAAAAAGAAAAGTCAAAAGATGAGAATAAATGTATAATCTTTAAAAATGACAGTTTCAAATGTTCAGGTGGCAAACAATAAAAATGACGTCATTGCAAAAGAGATCCAATTTAAATCTCTACTATTAAATTATGAAAGAAGAGTCTCTTGATGTTGTAAATGATAAATTAAAAAATCAACAAAAGCATTTAGCATTTTATTAAATATCGAGCTTGTAGTATATATATAAAATTTTAAAATGACAACAGTAAGAGCTTAATGTTAACTTATATTTAAATAACATATAAATACATAATATACATATTGCTTTATTGATAATTTACATAAATTGGCTGAATATTCATATAAATAAAGTAGCATCCTTTTAAGTCCGAATAAATTGGCGAATACCACCACCCAGTATTGTTTAAAATTCCATAGTGGTTCTTAAGTTCAATTATGATGACATATTACAAATTACGGCGCTGATATTGGTATTAGTGCTAAATGATCATGATTTTGTACAATGCAGTTAATATATACACAATAAATACATGTAACTGTAGTAACTATTGTATTTTGTAGAAATGGGAATAGCAATTATGATGTATTACGTGAGTTGTAGCTGATACATCTCTATTTGAGCTGTAATAAAGGTTGTCTAACTTTTGGCTGTCACCATTTGTAACCTATTCAAATACCGCCGATTCTTTTAGAACGAGACAAAAAATAATTATATAAAAATCGTGATTACTGAAATACCGAACTATCCCTAATACTTTGTGGCATCGTGGCATCATTGTTATGGAACATTTTGTGCCAATGTGCGACTGATATGTCTAGCAACCAAAATAAATGCTGCACTTGAATGATGACGACATATAAACTATCAAAAATATAAGTAATAACAAAAATAATGCGGTAACATATACTTTATTGCTGATAATTAACTTATGTATGGTCAATGACGAAATTATGTAGCCATATAATTATCGAAGGCGCTGAATATGGCATTTATGCGTCAAATTTGACATTCAGACAAGTGACATTAGACAAAAACTGCATTATTTAGTGTGTTGTTTTGTACAAAATCTATGTTAGGACAAATACATAGGCACCTTTCATTCGTTACCCTCATACGAGGCTACCTCGTAAGTTTTACGATAATAACTGTAAATATATGCACCGAATGCTTTAGGAACGATCAAAAGCACTTCATTGGGGCTTGCTTGGCGAAGACCACGTCGGCAAATAGTTGCTCCATCCTTTGAGGCTGAGATCGCTTCCTTTGGCTACTGCGTTGAGCTCTTTGGTCTCTTCTGGACTGAGTTTCAGTATCGTATTCATCACGGGAACCAGACGCGATCTTTCGTCTCCACTGCTCAACGTCACAAACTAAAAAAAAATAAATAAAGTAATAAATAATCTCCTTTGTTGGCTTCAAAGAGGGCTTTTTCATTTGATCAGAACAATTTACCTTCTTAACTGCTGTAAATAGGTGTTTTAAGGCACACAAGAAACGAAAGAACTTTAAGACAACATTTTAGACCAAAAAGAAGACAAATTGATGAATTAAGGGACCCACTAAAAAGAATTCAGCTAAAATTGATGTTAATAATTAAATAAGATAAAATAAAAAATGGCAAAAGAAAATAGCTTCAGAACAATATTGATGTTGGGGTTACGAATTATTAATCTTGTTCAAGTCAGGGGGGCTGTCATAGCATTTTATGATATTAAGTCGTACTCACCTTAAATACTACATTCTTAAGGTACTCCAGATTTTCCGCGTGTTTTTCACGCTCCTCTGACCTCTGCTGTCTTCTTATCTCCTCTTTAAGTAGCTTATTCATCTGAACGTGCTTCACCAGATCCTGTTCCGTGTCAGATAAGAGAGCCGTAAGGTGAGTAACTTTTGATTCTTGTTCGTTTAGCTTTTTCTTAATCCTAGTATACATAGTATAATATAAGTATAGTATAAATATAAATAAAATAGTTTTATTACCCACAGTGGAGAAAGGTCTTTAGAAAAGAAATAACTCACCTCTCGATCTCTTGGTCCGAATCTGCACCTAATAATCTTTCCAATGGTATGGGATGCACAGGGATGGAACTGTTGCTGTCTATACTTTCGGAACCCTCCCCTTCTCCTCTGGGCATCGTGGGTAGTACGGGAGAAGTTTCGCTTGGAGTGGGCACTTTCTCCAAACGGCTCTGCAGCTCTAATACTTCCCTGCTATGACGATTTTCCAGATCAGCCAGCTGTTGTCTGTAGCACTGCGAAACTGTATCAGCATGGACCTGTAAAATTAACATTATCCTCATAATACGAGGTTTAAACGATGAGGAAGGTGAAAATGCGTCGTTACCTTAAGGTTTCTCAGTGTTTCTGCGTTTTCTGAAACGCTTTTCTCGTGTTTGGTGGACAAATCGGCAAATTGTGTCTTTACTTCGTCACAATCTTCTTCCAGTTCTCTGATTCTGTTTAAATATTCTTTTATTTCTGTTGACAGTTTGGAATTTTCCTTTTCTAGATGCTCAATATTTATCCTAGAAGTTAGACCAATATAAGTGTGCATTCGTATTTTAAAATGTAGTGAAATTTTCACCATAAAACGAATTATATCCATCATTTCGGAGTATATTGGGCCTCATCAGACAGTGTCAGATCAGATCGAAGACAAAGTTGGAAAGACAAAGGTAGGATTTTTAGCCGTGTGGCATCGACTGGTGAGTCTGAACAAAGGCGAAACATGTAGTGTGAAAAAAAAACAGACTGAGTGAGAAAATGCACGACTCTGATGCATACAACTCCCTCGCAGAGAAGATCATCGGAGGAAGAGCAACTATTCACGATTAAGCAGGTCTTAAGCAAAGCCTGGGAACATTACATATAATATGTCTATAATATCCCTCCTGCATCCGACCTAAATGTATACATGTTGAACTGCAGTTCAGTTGAATATGTGATGGAGAAGTGTGAAAACTTGTTACTGTGTGGTGATTATAATTTACCAAATGCTTTCTGAAGTAATGACAACTTTGGATTAAATGTTGAATGCCCTGAAGACTATAATGCTGTGTATTTGGCAAATTCTTTTGGATATTTTAATATGTTTCAAATAAACAATTTACCTAACAGTCGTAATGTCTTTTCTAGATTTAGTATTTACTAATTTAAATAATGTTGATGTAGTTATTCCACTTGATTCACTATTTGGTAATAGTATCCACCATTCACCTATAATTGTAGAATTAACTGGTTTTGAAAAGCATGATCAACTGAACTACGAGGAATTTTATTAATATTTTAAAAATGCAAATTACATCGGACTAAATCATTACTTTGCAAGTTTAAATTGGGACTTACTTTTATCAGATGATGTGAATTATAGCTTAGCAGTATTTTATGATTTTATGTTTACAGGTTTTGACTTTTTTGTTCCGATCAAAAATTTTAAAACAAGTTCGTTTCCAATTTGGTTTAATGGTAAATTAAGGAAGTTGATATATTTAAAAAAGAAATTACATAAGCAGTATAAATTGTTTGGTAGAAGGGATGATTATTTAAGATTTTCTCAGTTAAGAAATGAAATTAAACAAGTCTCCTCTCAATGTTATAGTAACTATTTGAATAATATTGAGAATGGGATTCTATCTAATCCTCGACATTTTTGGAAATATATCAATAATAAACGTAAAAGTTATAATCTGCCATCTAATATGTTCTACGGTGATAGTACAAGTGATAATGCTCAAGACATAGTTAATCTATTTGGTAAGTTTTTCTCAACTACATATTCTAATTCTAAAATTAATCAGATCCCAATTTTTAACTATCAGCAGAGTGTAAATGTGAATAATTATAGTATTGAGGTCTCTGACATAATTGATAGTGTTTTAAAGATGCCTTGGAAATTATCGCTTGGACCAGATTGTTTGCCAGCTTATGTTCTCAAGCATTGCATTTTCACTCTTGTAAAACCTATCTGCTACTTATTTAATTCCTCATTGAGTACCGGCATTTTTCCTGATCTTTGAAGACTAGTTATTTAACACCAATTTTCAAGTCTGGTAATAAAAATGATGTTGAGAATTATCGAGCGGTTTGTAGCCAATCTGTATTACCCAAACTTTTTGAGTGTCTTGTAAGTAACTTTTTGACATAGAATTGTAAAAATTTAATTGATGTTAGACAACATGGCTTTTCTAAGGGTAAGTCTACATGCACGAACTTAATATTGTATACGAATTTTATAGCTAATTCAGTGGAACAGAAGGGTCAGGTTGACGCTATCTACACAGACTTCTCAAAAGCCTTCGTTAGAGTTAACCATGATCTGCTTATTGCTAAATTAAATGGCTATGGATTTAGAGGTAAAATAATTGAGTGGATAGGTAGTTATATATCTGGTAGATGTCAGTATGTTAAATATGGAAATTGTTTATCTCAACGAGTATCTGTAACCTCAGGAGTTCCTCAGGGGTCGCATATTGGGCCTCTCTTATTTAATATATTTGTTAATGATATATCCTCAGTGATTAAAAATTGTAAATTTCTAATGTTTGCTGATGACCTTAAAATATTTCGAATAGTTAATGACCTAGTTGA